GCCCCCCCCCCCCCCCCCCCCCTTCCCCTCCCTCCCCCAACTACATTTTCACCCAGATGGGGTCATTCTCAGCAACTATAGTAGGGTTCAACTCGACGATCGTTTACCACTCCCTCCGTTTATCACTATAACTGACGACAGGTCTGCTACAAAAGCGGAGTACTAAAATGTAATGGAAATCAGAATGAAACGAAAGAACCTTGAGCTTTGATGACTCATCTTCACGACGATAGAGCTACTTCTGCAGGTATGGTGTGAGTGAAGGTCGGAGCTTGACGAGCCAATTGAGCTCTTTTTGCAGACGGCAGACCTTGAGTATCGGGTCGGTCTGACCAGTATAGAATAATCTCCTGGAAATTACATCATCTCATTCATCGGTGTGGCTCAACATTCTGGTCTAGCGAATGGAGCCGTATGTATTCAGTGCGTTTCATGATTTTAAGTTCGCCCTGAAATTTCGCATTTCCAGAATGAGCTACCAAGCAGATACGTTTTTAGCACTACTATCAGATTCACCACCTTGAATAGCCCTCGCTTACAGACTTTGGCTGAATCAACTTCGGCTTCGACACTTTTATGAATATTTTCCGATTTTTGCAACCTTTCGTTTGTATAAGGTCACCTTGAGGATCCGGACAATCATCAATATTGATGACAAACGGAAAACAACATTCTATAGGTCCTTCTTCTTATAGCCCAACATCGAATAGCTTTCGTGGCATACTCGAAACAGGGTTTCGAATTACTTCACTGGAGATTTTATTTCAAGCTTCAATTATTGCCTGCTTCATCTTTTCTGTTGCCTGGAACTGATGGTTGTTCGCATGAATCTTTCTCACAACACAGGCCCGCACAGATTCTGGGTTGAGATGGAGACTGCAAGCTGGTTAAGACAGAACTATATTTTTGGAATGCCATCACTCACTCTGTCATGCAAAATCGGAAGTATATGACAGCCTTGCCTTGATGGCAAACACAGTACGGCGACGTTGGCTCAGAATGGCATCCTTGGTGTCTTTGTAAGATTCTTCGGTAATCCATAGATTCCATAGGTTTGAAGTCACGAAATTAAGCCTCAACGTGACATCACTGCAAAAGGCACCCGGATCGATATTCGCCGAGGCCAACCAGGCTCGTCTGGGAGGATAAAAGCACTGTCTTGTACGTCGGTTGGATAGCGCAAGTCGTTGTATAGGCCACATACGCATTCAATACGTTACAACTATTCTGAAAGGAAGTCGAATGCATGGGCGCATCTCTCAGACGAGATTGATTAAGACCTCAAGGCTTTAGACTTTATTCCACACCGTGACACTCTCTCCTCTGAAATTGCTACGGCCGAAGGCTACTTTCGCAACTCACGCCAGCAGTAATTGTAAATGTTGGGGCTACCGTCCAAATTGAACTTCTTTTCATCGGAAAATACGACCTCATAAAGAACATTTGACTGCGTGGTTCATCTAAATGCTGTTTTACCTTCGTACAATTTCTTCCTAAAATGAACTGTGCAGATTGGAGCGGTGCGCTTCTGCGTTTACCTTCGGTTTGGGGCCCTTTTCGTTGCTTTTAGACCTACATTCAAAAGTTTTCGACATAGAGAAATTCAATTCTGGTCGAGTTGATTCAGAGCAGGTACTATTCAAAGTAAAGTAAGTCTAGAGGATAATGTCTCGGGGCGTTGGCCAATCTCGTCTGAGTTATGCGCCCACGCATTCGACTTCCATTTAGAATCGTAGCGGCGATTGAATGTGTATGTGGCCCATACAATGGCTTGCAATGGCCAGCCGATGTGCAAGTCAGTTCTCTCTTCCTCCCAGACGAACCTGGTATCAATGACCGAACCCGGAGAGATGGAAGGCTTGGTTGGCCTAGGCAAGTATCGATCCGGGATTCGAACCCGTGAACATGCTTGCGTTAGGTACGCCACATTATACCACCTCCGTTTTACTATTCGAAGTAGCTGTTAAAATTTTCCTCCGTTGTTCGCGGTTACTTTGCGCGGGCGAAATTCTTCCGATTTAACTCCCAGTGGCTCTCAATCTGAGCTCTGTATTATGAGGAATTCAAATTTGTGCTTTTTCTTTCAAAGGGGTTGACTAACAGGCTGGGCACGACGGGTATTGCTGCCGAACATATTTGCGACACATTTTCTCCTTCAGACCCTTCACACCCAAATTTTCCATCATAAGGTGTTCGGATTCTCAAGGAGGCCTTATCATCATGAGAGAAGCAAAAAGCGAAAATAATCTATGAAAAGACCAAGGTAGAAGCTGATTAAGCCAAATCTGAGACGATTGTTTAAGGTGAAGGATACGGTGGTGGCGCTAGAAATGTGTCCGTTCAGCTGCTTATTCTGGTAGTACAAAACTTGAAGGTGACTTATGCTTGTGAAACGCACTGTATATGGAAGCACCTCAACGAAAAGGTGAATTCTACTATTGATTGGCGTAGTTCCCACAACAATTAAAAAAATTCATTTTTTAGCTCGGTTCTCAAGTCAGAAAGTAGTGTAGCGTTCTCCTTTTAAGCGCATGAGCGTGTAAATGTAAAAATCGGATCGAAACTGCTTGAGCTCTTTGCGATTTTTGATGGAAGTAGGATGAATGCCCATTTCTAGGACTCATTTAAACGGATAACGCAGCGATGATGTATCAAACCTGGTCAGGTGCACAACTAGTGGTGAATGATTGGAGCTGGTAGCCGTTCTTCAAATATGTCCACAGCGAGGTCAGTCCTGTGGGTATATCAAAGTCCTTGAGAGCCTGAACAATCCAAGAGCATTCAAGACCTCTTATCTGAAGCTGTTCCGAAAACCCAAGGAAAGCCAAAACGGCCGACCACTAACCTTAGCTGCAATTCTGATGGAGTGTAACCGAGGCAGAACAGTGCAGTCGATATGAGAAGGCTCGTCACCACATAGGAATCGAGAACCGGTCTCCTGGAGATATTCGTCTATCCTTTGCAGCTCTCCGAGCAGCGCCTGCAAGGATTTATATTTTAATAAATGATCAATTACCGAGCAGAATTCTTCAACACACTTTTGGCTCCTTTTCAACGCCTTTTATGAAGAAAGCGAAAACCCTGAAGAGGTCCGCGGTCGCATTCTCGGCTTCGGGCGATCTTTTACGAGGAGGGCCATATCTATCGAGTTCTTCAACAATTTCATCTTCAACTGAGAAAGCAGTGTCATCATCGATTTGAAGGGCTGGCGTTCGTCGAAGACCAACCTAAACAGTGACAGTCGAATCAATTTTCGAACAGATTGTTACAGCAAAAAGGGAACGAACGTCTTTGAATTCTTGTGGTGGGCGAGCCTCATTCACTGTCTTGACGTCGAACTTCAATCGAGGGTCAAGCTCAGACTTCCATAGCATAAGCATAAAAAGTTGCTGAGCAGCTGGATCTCCACCACACTTGAGACCATCTGAACCAGCTCGAACCCAAAGCGTAAGCCGTGACATAGTTTCGTTCTTAAGGAGGTTTAAAATTTGGTAGATGATGTGAAATGTCAGGGTAAAATTGGAAGTTCAAAGTAAAGTGCGAAATGAAGTATTGAGCGAAAACGGATCAAAATATTGATTTTCGAAAGAAAAAGGTAATGAGCGAGAAAGGTCGGAACCTGCTAAACCCATATTCCTTTTTGCTCGACTATATGATTTTTCCGAAGAATAAATAGCACTACAACAATTTGAGAAATGAAATTTTGAATGGGCGAACAAAAGTGAGAGAACTGGAAAATTCCTAAAAGTGACCGTGAGATGTAGTTCGCGATGTGTAAAGTTTGCCCGAAATGTAAGAAAATTTGTCTTTTAAGACGGATCCAAGTCGCAAGTTGAACATAGAAGACCAGTGGCCCTCAAGTGGCTGAGAACATTGAAATTCGTGCCAAAAGATGGTTCTCTTTCGAGGAAGGTCTACGAGAGTTCCTGTCTAGGAGTAGTTAGCAATTGAAGACACTAACTTAAATAAGAATATCTACAATTCTACTCGATGAAATGAAAGAAATGATACACTTACTACTTATAAACTTCCTGATCGGGTAGGGAACGCTTTGGGCCTATTTTGATCGCTACGACTTCGAGCCATTATCATGGCAGCCAGTAGCTGTACAAATCAGTGCATTTCTGATACCGAGTAACCGGTTTCGCAGTAAGAAAAAGGTAGCCTTTTTTTCGGCTCGGAAGGGATTTCATTCTCGATTCGCTTCAAGGAACGTGCGCTAGTATTGCTTAGCATTTTGTAAACTATGATCTATAACTATATAGTATAGTAATGATGGATAACGATGGATATATCTTGCTTCGTATCGAATGACATCCTCATTTGACTGGAACATCAACCACCAGCAGTTGCCTAGTGTCAACTGTCTGATAATGATGATGACATTTCCATTTCCACTACAAAAAAGAACGAATCCTAGACTGGGAGTCAGAGGTTTCCTTCCGCTAAGTGAGAGGGAAGCGCAAGTGGACATGATTAGCTTCATCTAGTAGTATCGTGACATTGCCTTTAAATAGCCAGGGTTTCCTCCAAGTGGTTCAATGATCATTTGTTGATCTGGAAAACGTACAGCTGACCTAAGCGTTATACGTAAAGATTCGGTCGGTAAAAGGAAAGCTTTAGACCACGGAAGGGCCGAAGAGTAGAGAAAAGGCAGTGAGGTCAGAGTCCACGCCGAGGTTTCCCAGCAAATGAGGGGGAAGAGCTTGCGCAATACATTTTTAAGGGGAAGATAATGAAATGACTCAATGTGTGCGGGTGTGGTGCGTTAGGAACGAAATGGTCGCGTCGCGGTGAGAGGGGCGTCGCGCGCGAAGAAATGTATCAGGATGCAGCAGTAGGTAAGAAATACAAGAACAAAAGTACTAATAGTAGAATTATGCATAAAGTAATGATCGCACATCGTGTGAAGAACGCTAGAGCTGAAATAACGGCGAATGAGTGGTCCGCGACAGCCGCGTGCGGCAAATCGATTACCCAAAATCGTTCCTAACGCCCGTCTCCCAATGTGTGCATAATTTCGTAACTCAATTATGCGAAACCAAATGAATACACTGAATGGCGATGATGTTTTGTCAAGAAAATGAGGAAGGCAATGTACATAATCAAGGAATTCTAAGAAATTGCCGCTTAGATCCTTCTAACGAATTGGCTGTAGCCATTTTTAGGTGGCCTAACTTACCTGCAGAGGTATCATTTCGAAGTATGATCGCTTTCATATCCGATCAGAAGAAAAGAGCAAGGACCCTCTGATCTGTTTGTCTTTCTATTCATGGAAAAACTAGAAAATGGGGTTGTTCATCGTTGTAATATTGCAGTGTAGTGTAATAGGCCCACATGAGACCATTCTTTAGAGTTACGAAATTTTCATCGTGGGACCCCGACTAGAGTATGGCACCAGATGAAGAGAATATGAATTCTGACACATCCATGGCCTATTACACTGATCATGAGGTGAAGTGCTTGATGTTCTTCTTTCGAGAAAATCTGGAATGACCTCCGTGTAAATACATGGTCGACAGCTTCCCTAAAAGTTGAAGGTTCACCATATTTTGACACCATCATGAAAACCGCCATTTTCCCTTCTAATTATATCTTTTAAAATTAAGCCCTGATCTATGCCTTCTCCAGACAAATCCTCCTCACACAAAGGCAGACTTCGTTTAGAAGTTTGAAAGAGTTGGAAGAAAATTCACGCGAAAATGGTGTTAGACCTCTAAGCCTTAAGATAAACATAGTAAAGCCGCTCTACTTTTTTGAATAGACAGAGATGAACTTTCGTCTTTGACTATTTAAGCAGATTCTATGAATAGCATAGCAAAGCTCGAGTCTTAAAATGAAGATTCTTCAGTTATTCTAAGTAAAGCTGCCGTTAGTTAAGGGCGATGGTGGGTTATTGCAGTGTGGCATGCTACCACATGCACGTTGTGGGTATGGAAAGCTGGATTAGCACCTATCTGAGGCAGCCAAGCCACTTTTCATCCAGTCTAGGCTAATGAATTACATCTGGGCAATCTGGAAAGGCAAAAATATTAAAGTTCACATCGACATTGCATCTTGCAATGCCCACAAATATACCCACAACGATCGTGAATCGAAGACGCATACATGGCGCACCTCAAAAGGGATAGAACCAACCAGGCAAAATGCTTTGAAGGGTTAGTTGCATTGACCAGAACGTCGTCTCTTGCGATGCTTCGTTTTTTCAGAGTAGCAACTAACAAGCATAGAGAACCTGCTGCTGCTGTGACTAAGGATTGTGACTTGTACTTACTGACCTACCCTCCTTCCGGTTGTGGAAATAATCTCGGCATTACTGTGTACACATTCCAGTTGTTTTTATTTACAGAAGGCTCACGCAAATGATCCATTCGTTGTTTTTCTTATCACTATCCCTACCTTATCACCTTAGGAAGAAAATCGTAGAAAAATGTTCAGAATCGTTTTATACGTACTACATACTTTTGTTTCAGTCCAATCAAGGGCAGAGGTGGTTTTGGGGGCAATTGGCGCGGTATCACATACGCATGTTCAGAGGATCGCATCCCGAATTCATATCCGAACAGGCCAATCAAGCCTCCTAACCGAAAGGAGTCGGCTAACTGGTGCAAGACTTGTCTGGGAGGATAAAATCAATGACTTGAACATGGGCTGGCAAGCGAAAGTTATTGCATAGGCAACAAACGAATTCAAACCGCCCCTACTATGCTATGGGAGTCAAATGCTGGGCCCATCCCAAAGGAGAGTTGATTAACACCAAAAAAGTTTCTCAATTATCCGTATTTCTTTGTATTCTTATTCAAGAGAAAACTCAAGACTCCTCGACAGATAAATGTGCGAAATCGTCTGTCGGATAGCCCTAGCAGTGAGCCGATGTTTACTTGACGTTGTTGTTCTTGTTTATCTGGACCAGCAAGTCTAGGTTCCATTGCCGTCACCCTCCTAGGCGATATTACCTTATTAGTGTTACTCTGTGAGATGGGCTGTGCTTGCGAATTGCTTTCGTCAACATTTTCCCACAAGCCAATCCGATGTTTGATCTTTTTCGCTATGCCATTAGGAGAATCGTTAAAAGCAAACGCTGAGCTGTGTAATTTCGTATCAGCATTTTCCCACGCTGAACAGCACCCGAACAATCCCTGAGCCCACTCATTTGACTTTACATAATCACAGGAGATCATGAAGTATCACCAGGAGTCGAGGGTGTAAGAGGGAGGAGGCAAAACCTGGATAGAAACCTAGAAACCTGGATAAGCAATTAGAATAAAACAATTCTACTGGACTTTTGCGCGTTTCCCGGAAGTTCAAACTATTGGCACTATTTCTAGAAGTGAACCCTGTTTGTAGGGCAATAAACAATTCTCAGTGGGAAGAGAGGGGTGTAGACCAATCAGGTGGGGGGCCTGGAAAACACAACAAAAGCGGGTTCAAGTTCCTTAGCTAAAGCTAAAGTTTTACCCACAACTCGCCATTTTTACAAGATTTAGAAGAATTGTAGTTTCCAGAAACACAATAATGTATAAATATAACTTATTTGTACTCCAATATTAGTTATTCTCCGAAAAGCTTTGTATGGCAATTGATGGCTCAGGTTATAGAGGAAGGCAGTTGTAGGGAAAAAAAGCTGAAGAAAATTGGCAGCGGGTTTGGAAAAAATCGAAGCGAAAAGCTGATATCATCAAAACTTCAGTGTCATAGTAGGGGGAAAGGATTACTAACGAACGCCCAGATTGTTTATTCATTGGAATGACGTGAATAGCAGTTGAGGGGAGGAAAATGCCCACGATTATCGCAAACACTTTTAATAGCGCCTCGCTAGAAAGTATTTCAGAACAAACAAATGAGCTTCTTTTTCAAGATAGAGGCAACGGGAGCCGTTTCAAAAAAACACCTGGGTGATTCCAATTAGGAGGAAAGGATCAAGCCTGAGGGCAAGTCTTTCATGAGCAACTGATACATGTTGCAGGGGTGGGAGCAAGTAATCGATTGGACGGCTGTTCTCTGGAGCTCAGGAGCGAGGAGGAGGACAGCAGCGGATGTTATATGACGCAGGTTAGGAAATATTCGGCCATTTATACTTAAGTGTGAAAATAGGCCTAGCTGGAGGGGAGGTGCCGCTATCGACACTACTTTCCATAACTGCCGACATATTTTTTACTTCATATTTTTCCTCTTCTAAAAAAATCGTAAATTCTCTCTCAAGACCCTCGTCTCCTCATTGATTCTCTCCTCATTAAAAGATTCGTCCTTTTTATGTGAATTTGGTTGTGAAAGAACTCAGTTTCAGTTGCTAAGCGATATTCAGCCGAAAGTGCTAGGTCTCAGCCCATGAAAAAAACTCCCTCTACTTGGGATCCAACTTTTCTCAAGATGAAAAACCAAAGGCTACGAACTCGAGCGGTTCAAAAACCTGAAAGAATAAGTTGAAGGAAATTACGAAGTGTCAGAATGTCATCGAGTG